CACAGAAGACCATCCTTCCCAGCTCAATGTAATTAGGACAACCAGCTGCTGCAGAGCCAAAGGCCCACCTCCCAGGTGATTCTAGATCCTGTCAGGCTGACAGCAAGAGCCATTATAGTTCCCTTATTAGGAATATAATTCTGGGTACAAACCTTTCATCTTTCTCTTTCTCCCTTTCTTTTCCTGGTCATTCTGATGGCAGGATTGTTTCAGCTTGTCTGACTGGATACCTGTTCCCCTTCCTCTTTTCAGTCTACCTTTAATTGGCACTTCCTGCATTCTCTGAAAGGCTCTGGAGTTTAAGAATATTGTTTTGTTCCTAATTACCTGTTAGCATACTGTCCTAGTGGAGGGATCCATCAGCTGTAGTTGTTTCTGCAGATGCAGTCTATGTGAGAGAAGTACTGGGGACTGGGCCCCGTGTCCTGAGCACACATGTGGACGGTTTAGCTATTGAGCTATACTGTTAGTGCGCCTCAATCCTACTGTAAATCAGTTCTACTTGAATACAGAAAACTCCTCAATTAGAAAGAATAGGGATTAAAATACCTAATCATGGACTGCACCCCAGATAAGTCCCAATAAGCATAAAAAAACATGAAAAATCAAAGCAATGTGAGTTGATCAGAAAATAATTCATTCTACAGTAGTGAATTCCACTGCAAGAGAGGTATGTGGAATCTCAAATAACTCAACAGAATGATTGTAAGAATGTTCAATAAAGTCAAAGATGACATGAGTAAACTGAATGATTTCAAAGAAAATTAAATAATCAGCTGAACAAAATAAGACAATATAGGATTCGAAAGGGAAATTCAATAAAAAAATAGAAACCCCGGGGCTGGAGAGATGGCTTGTCCTGCATAAAGCCTGGAGTTCATATACCCAGAATCTAATGTAAATGCTAGGTGGGCATGGTGGGCCACCTGGAGTTCCAGCCTGGAAGGAAGGCAGAGAGGAGGTCCTCAGAGCAGCTGCCTAGCCAGACTCACGCAGGTTGAGAGCTGGGTTTGAGTGGGACGAAGCCTCAATGAAAATGGCCAAGAGTAGTTGAGGATGATTCCCACATGCCCATGTGCATGCTCACTCGCACACAATGCAAACATGTATTTACATAGGCATATCCAACACACACACATGCATGAAAATGGGGGAAACAGACATAAAAAATAGGAATTTTAGAAAACCTCAACACTGTCAAAAAATTTAGTGGAAATTCTCACTAATAAAACAGATCAAATGGAAGACAGAACACGGGGTCCTGGAAACAAGGTAGATGAATTAAAACAGGCAAAAAAATAAGAACATGTGAGATCTATGAAACCAACATCAAAAAGCCACGGTGGAAGGACAAGAACCAACACCCAATGATGTCCACAAGGCCACACTCATACTCAATACACAATCATAGACATCCACATAACACACGTAGATGCCTCCACTGAGATATTTTAAAGAAGAAAAAAACATAGCAAATATTGCTGTTTGTAGAAAAGGGAATCTTTGTAGAAAAGAGAATGTAAAGCAATTCAGCAAATATAGAAAAAACTAAAAACAGAACTGCCATATTGGTTCAGTGATCCCACTCCTGGCAATATACACAAAAACTTCAAACCAATATACTACAAAGAGACCCCTTACACTCATGTTTATTGCATCACTACTCACAACAGCCAGCTTCTGTAATTAGCCTAAGTGTACATTAACAGGTAAACAGTGGAGGAAATGGAACACATATACAAAATAGTTTTGTTTAGCCATAAAGAATGAGACTATGGTGGTGGCGCTGGGGAGACTGTCAGTAGGTTAAGTGTTTGCCTGCATTTGTGAAGAGCTGAGTTAGACTTGCCAGGACTCATGTGAAAGCTGGGCCCAGTGGTGCCCGTCTCCAATCCCAGTGCCCCACAGTGAGATGGGAGAACACAGGAGAATCCCCAAAAGCTGCTGGTACAGCAAAGAGACCATGACTCCAAAAAGGAAGGCAAGGACTGACAGTGAAGGTTGTATTCTGACTTTCATACTTCTGCCTGCACTCACGTACACACCATAAATACATCCACTGCGCAAGTGTGCGCATACATACACACACACACGTATGAAATACTCTCATTTGCCTGAAAATGGTACAACTGAAGATCACTATGTTAAGTAAAAAAACCCTGACCAAACAAGAAAAGTATTGTTGTTTTCTCTCATATGTGGATCCCAGCTTTACAGATGAAAACATTTACATATGTAAATGAGTGTGTGTGACATGAAGTAGGAGTATCTTAGAAAAGGAAGGGGACAAGTAGGAGGGGAAGAAAGTAAAGGATTTAAAAACAGTAAATATGGTCAAATATATACTTATAAAGTATTTATGAAATCCATTATAATGACAATGACTTTACATATAAATATATGTATGTGTGTACACACACACATATGTATGTATGTTTGGCTTTTCAAGACAGGGTTTCTCTTTGTAACAGAGTCCTGGCTGTCCTGGAACTCACTTTGTAAACCAGGCTGGCCTGGAGCTCACAGAGATCTGCCTGCCTCTGCCTCCGGAGTGCTATGGTTAAAGGTGTGTACTACCATGCCCATCTAATAAAAACAATTTTTACAGTCACCCCCATAAACATTCTCAGTACAAAATCCACAGGGGCGATACAGAAAACAAACAGGAAAGTTAGACACAAGCTTGAAACATTTATAACTCTTAGTTAAAATAGTGGTTGTTCTTAATAATAATCACCTTAAATCAACAGGTAACTACATCTACAAAATACCGAGATTATCTGATTAAATATTAGGTACTATAGCCTGAGTAGACATATTAGTCATCACTCATAGATTCTATTAAATATTCCTTTCAACCCTAGAAAAATCCTTTTTAAAAGAATATTTTATTTTCTGCTTTGAAGAGATATCAACTTTCAGCTCAGCAGACATAGTTAATCAGGAGAACTGTCACTTTTGGAGGGACTATTTAGAGAAACTAAACAAAACTCTACACTTTCTGTTCCTACAGAACAAGATCATTCTTAAGAAGTTCCAACATCTTCAAGATCATTCTTAAGAAGCTCAACATCTTATCTACATGTTAGACATAATGTTTCAAATACTATATTCAATTTAAAAACAGAAACCACACATTAAAAGTGCACCTCAGAGAGATATATTCTTACCTTCTTACAAATAGTTTCAAACAAATTCTGCTGCATTTAAACATAAGATAAACACTTTCCTTCTCCCTGCTGCAGCCATTCATTAAGCAGGTACTATGTAGCAGGTGCTGTTTAAAGAACCCGAGCTAAGTCACTGAGGAACTTGATGGCTCCAGTCTGGGCGGAGCTCATAATCTGGCAAAGAAACACCCTTAGCCAGCTATTTTCTCTCCAAACGTGACAACTGGAGTGTTAAAAATTGTGAAAAGAGTTTCGAAAATCTGTGTGTTGGGCAACCTTCAGTTTTGAGTGTGACCTTCTTAGGACACCCTGTCTGATTATTAGCATAGAGGTCCTGGGTCCAAATCCTGGTGTCGCCATTTCCTAGACTGACCTTGGCAAAGAAGCTTAATTCTCATTTGTAAAACAAAATAATCCTAACTACCCTACTGGGTTACACAGGAAAATGAGCAAGGAATGTGTGAAATGGCAGGAAATACGAAATTATCAGCTACTATTTCAACCCAGTTTCCAGAAACCCAGACAGCACTCAGACAAAAATGGGGATAAAGGTACCGCTTAGGACATTTTCATCTGTCACAGATAGTTCCTGCCCACTTTAATATTCCAAGAGTCCTTTCTCCAGCAAGTCATTTTATGAGCGTCAAAGTCTACAAAGAGGTAAAGTTTGCATATCTCCTTCATAACATCAACTCATTATGGGAATCGAATAAACATGGCGTCAAGAGGCTTTAAAGCCATTAAGAGAAAAATTTAATACCTGTGTGGTCGGTGTCTACCTCAATTGCCAGCATCTGGGAGGCCTGACACACGAGGATCATGAGTTTAAGTCCAGCCTGAGCTACATAATGAAAGTCTGTCTTTAAAGTTTTTAAAGTCAAAATTAGGCTAATTTTCTCTAAGATGACAAGAGCAATTATCTGGGGGAAAACAACAAAATAAAACAAGACTCAATTCCTGGATTCAACAACGCTTCAACGTGCAGGCAGCGCGCTGGGGCTCTAGGTCCCACAAGACCTTTCTTTGCATTGGTCAATACTCACGAGCGGAAATTAACTCTTAAACTGGATAATGGCAGATAGAAAAATACACAATCCCAGTTATCTTGAAATTGATTTCTCATACTTGTTAAAAGGGAAGTCGTTTACGGGTTGTAAAGTTCTCGCCAACCTCAGAAGGGCTAATGTCCACAAACTGCAAGTGGAAGCTATACACTGCAAAACTTGCCGACGCCAAGGCCATGCTAATAAAATTGCCGACGACTAGCAAAACACACTTCCAAAGCTGCTTTGTAAGGATCAAATTTGCTGAAGAGCAATACAGGATACATTGCAAATCTGTGGGTTTTCCCACAACTTGGACGGAGGGATGGTGAGGCACGTTAATGTGCTGGTACCGTAAACTACCTCACCCCGCAGGAAAGATTCTAACCCCGACCCTCATCTTGGGGTGAAAGCCTGTAACGGTATGCCTCTCTGGAGCGTGGGGCCCGATAAGAAATGGCCCGCCAGTCCCAAAGGCGAAACTGTTGGTTATTTTGGAAAGGACACCCGGACTAGCAAGGACGGACGGAAGAGCAGGGCGTTAAGAACTATAGCGCGAGAGGGTGAAAAGCGGTGCCAGGGGGAGCGAGGTCTGCCAGGACTCCTGAAGGACCCGGGACAGGGGTGACCTCTTTCGAGCGTCTCCGGCAGGGGGGTGCTGACGACTCCCGCCTGCAGGAAGGAGGCCGCCACTCGCCGTGCGCGGCGCGCCCCGCTGCCGTCAGACCCACGCCCGCGGTGAAGGTGCCCTCCGGCCCCCTCCCGGAGCCCCACGGACCCAGGCTACCTCTCAGGATGTGGGAGGGGGGGGTCTCCACGGAATCCCGCCGCACCGGCCGGAAGACGCTGCCTCGCCAAGGCGACCCGGCCGAGTGTGGGGCAGGGTGCCGTGTCGCAGGACTCAGGCCAGCGCTAGGCCTCCACCGCCCTGGCCAGCCGCGCCCACTAGCAACGTGCTCCGACCCTCCGTGCCCGCTCGCAGGTCCACAGGGCACGCCGCCGCGCAAGGAACCATGGGACTCGTAGTTCCGGCGCGGAGGAAAAAACGCTCCAGGGTCTGCCTCTCCAGTTACAAATCCCGGGCGCACTCCCCGGAAGTGACGTAACAAGGCACGCGTGGCGCCGGCCGGCGTTTCCGCAAACAGAATCGTGGATGTCTGTGTGGGTGAGTGTGGCGTTCGGCGTTCTGGCCTGTCCTTGGTTCTTTGTCTTTAGCGCGCCTAGAGCACAGCCAGGCCGAATGCCCGCACGCCTGGCTGGGTTCGCTTTCCTTCTGCCTCCTCCCTCCCGTCCCTGCCTCGTGGGGTTTATTGTGCCCGTAGCCGGAAGCAGTGTGAACGGTGCTTGTCTTGAGACGGTGGGCGCTGTTGCTCCTCCTGACCACGCTAATCCAGGGAGGAGAAGCTCCGGTGCTTCTGCTCGGGCCGAGGGGCTCCTTTTTCTGCTTTCCATTAAAAGAGGCTGCGATGGGCCGGGTGTGGTGGTGGGAGACAAAGATGGTTTGTTCTGTCCGGAGCAGTGCTGTAGGAACCTGACCAGAGGTTGAGTAACAGCTGGGCCAGGGGTGGGGGTGGGGACCGATGAAGCAGTGGAGAACTGCTTGCCCCCACCCCCTTTCTGTTTCGTTGATTTGTACCCCGCTCTAGACAGTCAAGGTGGTTCGTCGAGGTCATGCTTGCCCATTAGCTAGCAGGCAGAAACTGGGATAACCAAGAAAAGTGATATACTTTAGGGGCGTAACCGAACACACACACACACACATACACACACACACACACACACACACGGAGAGTATAGCCTTTGCATACCCCAACAAGCGTGTTTCTGCCACCTCAGTAAACCAATGAAAAGAGCCTAGTTAATAATGGAAAGCAGAAAAAGGAGGCTTACTCTGTGTGACACATTGGGAAGCAGCACTGAGATGTCCATATAATAACCATTCCATCTTTGTGGGTCCTGAAATGAGGGTGAGGTCTAAATAGGGGGTAAGAAAAATGCAATCTGGCCAAGGTGTGGTCCCGCCTACGTTTCCCATCTTTTCCCCTTTCTGTAAGGTGTTCTCACTCTTTGCCCACCTGGCTTCTTTCCCTTGTTTCAGCATAAGATTCCTAGAGGAAATAGTCATTGATATTCTCTCTTTCTGTCGTCTGTCCCTCAGCTTCGTGCGCCAACTCCCCCCCCCCCCGTGTTCATTGTTTCAACAATTTAATAGATCAACACACCTTGGTATCTCTTTAGAATATCTTGATTTCTGTGAAGCAAGCTAGTGTGATTGCAGCCAGGTCAAAATACCCATCTCCACATTGGTCTACTGTTTACCATAAATTCTTCTCTATTGTTCCATCGTGATATCTGTCTTTCAAGTATTTTCATTATTATCATTGATGTTTTATTATTATAATTATTGCTGCAAAGCTAAGTCTTAAAGCTAGAGCCTAGAGAATGCTCTTGTGAACCAGAATTCCTAGAAGGAAGCTGTGCCTACTAAGCTCTCGACTGATTTTTAGAAATGGAGTGATTCGGATAAAATGGAATGTTGCCGGTCCAGATCCTGCGGATCTTGGCCCATCTCTAGCCTCCTTACTAGCCACTCTGCTCTGTATGCGACCTAACGTTTTGTGACTATTAGGTAAATCTTTAGGAATGTATACACAGACCCCTGGTTCTTACCAACTAAAAGGCCAAGGATTCTGTCAGATAGCACTTGGGTCCTATAGCTGAGATTTCCTTTTCTATGATCCACCTACCTGGTATTTCCACCAATGTATTTGAGATTTAGGATTCTCTTCTGTTAGTATAAAATTGGCTGGAACTGTTAGCATGTTAGAACATGGAATTTGAGTAACCTAAATCAGTGTCCCTTAGCCACTGTCACACAAATTTGGCTCCAGAATAAACTATCTCCTATCCTCTTTGAGGTAAGAGCTATTGCTTTCTTGTATATCAAATAAAGTACTCTATAATTGAGTTGTTTAACACATAAATCTAGACATTCATAACCATTTTGTAGTTTTTATTTTTTTTTTTTATTTTTCGAGACAGGTTTCTCCGTAGCTTTTTGGTTCCTGTCCTGGAACTCACAGAGATCCGCCTGCCTCTGCCTCCCGAGTGCTGGGATTAAAGGCGTGTGCCACCACCGCCCGGCTTCATTTTGTAGTTTTGAATGCTTTTATGATAGCTAATCTGTGGAAGTATAGACTGAATAAAATTCACCCTTAAATACCAATTCTAATTTTAGGCAATAATTACAGCTAATGATAACATTTTGCATGGTAAAATAAGTAAAAATGGACACTAAGTGGCAGAGGAGAAGTAGTAGAGTTTTCATAATTGGATGAGTAATTTTCCTTGATACTGATTTGTAGTAGTTACTCTGTAACTGATCTTCCTAGTTGGTTTGTTTTTATTCTCTAGTTCAGTTGTTCCTATGTAACATGTTTTGGTTATTTTTGTTACTTTGAGTCAATACCCAAAAGTTAGTGACAACGAATGTCCTGAAATCCTTCCCAGTTTCCAGTGACTCATTTTTTACCTGTCCGTGTAACTACTGTTGTCTTTCTTTATGCAGAAGACCTTTAAGAATGATTTACCTCTTTTACTTTTCTAGTGTTGTGATAAGACACTGACCAGGACAATCTTTTAGTAGAGTTTATTTGGGACTTATAGTTTCAGAGGGTTTCAGAGTCCATGACAGAGTCCAGGGACATAGAAGCAGGCAGGCATGGTGCTGGAGCAGTAGCTGAGAGTTTACATTGATTCAGAAGCACAAGGCAGAGTACTATGTCTGGGCATGGCCTGACTTTTGGAACTACAAAGCCCACTCATGGTGACATGACCTCCTCCATCAAGGCCACACCTTCTAATCCTTCCTAAACTGTGGCACCAACTGAGATTAAGCATTCGAATATATGTGCCTATGGGGGCCATTCTCATTCAAACCACTACATGTCTTCTTTACGTTTAGAACTTGAAATTTCATGGTCTCTCCTTTTTTTGATTTTTGATTTCCCTTTTCATTTCTTTCAGTAACACAGCTTGATAGTTTAGTAGAAGTGTTTAAGCTGTGAATTTAGTGACTATAGTTCACATTACACTTCTTTGTAGTACTAGTTCTGCTTATTAATTGAAGGAGCTCTAAGCAGGCCATTAACAATTCCCTTGTAACAGATGACCTCCTTCCCCCCATTTTACACAGATGCCTTGGCGCATATTTGAAGCATCTTAATGGTCGTTACGCTGAAGACTGAACCTTAAAGCTGTTCTAAATCTGTTTCCACTCTTCACTTTCTGTACAATTACAGGGTTCATTATTAAATAAGGATTTCAAGAATCTTAGCTTCCTGTATTACTTTTTGCATAGATTACCTAAGAGAGCTACTTATAGAAAGGGAAAATTTAAGCCGGGTGGTGGTGGCGCACATCTTTAATCCCAGCACTCAGGAGGCAGAGGCAGGTGGATCTCTGTGAGTTCGAGGCCAGCCTGGTCTACAAGAGCTAGTTCCAGGACAGGAACCAAAAGTTATGGAGAAACCCTGTCTCGAAAAATCCAAAAAAAAAAAAAAAAAAAAGAAAGAAAGAAAGGGAAAATTTATTTTAACTCATAATTTTGGAGACTTCAGCCCATGCTACTTGATTTTGGTGATGTGGAGCCTATGGTAAGGCAGGCTGTTACACTGGTGCGTGTGTGTAAAGGAGGAGGCAGTTTACATCATGGTAGTCAAGTGGTAATTACTGACAACTAGGCATAGTTTACATCCATTCTCCAAACAGCCCTTACCTCCCTAAAGTCTCTGGAACCCCCAAAATAGTGCTACTAAGCTGAAGACCAACCAAGCATTCAACACGTAAGCCTGTGGGGGAGTTTCACAAACAGCAGCAGTACCTGTGCTCCAGCCTCAAAGTCTGATAATGGAAATGCACATAGCTCACTCTTAGTACCTAGCGTTAGCAGTTCCGGTGCTGTTCCGAAGTCTACGCGCCAGGTCTCTTGACACTCGGGGCAGGCCCTTTGCTTTGAGACAGATGACATGGTAATGCAGGTGGGAACCCAAAAGATAAGACCTCCAGCAGGAGCATTTTACAGCGAGCCAGGCTTATAAGATCTCAGGGACAAGGATGCTTTGGGGGATCGGCCGTTCATTCATACTACGCTCTGGTAGAGAATTTGGAAAGATTTGTTCCTGCGGTGAAACTTTGTCTTAGGCTAAGTTTAAAGCTACCAGACTAATTAACCTAGTGGAAGGAATGTCAGCATTCAAGCTGTTGTATGCTTTTTTGTTGTTTTTGCTTGTTGAGATGCGGTCTCACTGTGTAGCCCTAGCTGCTTGAAACTATGTAGACTTGGCTCTAACTCACAGAGATCCTTTGATCTTTACCAGCTAAGTGCTGGGATTAAAGGCACATAAACCTGTTCTCAGCTTGTAGCATGGTTATCAGTAACTACTTTTGACTAGCTTTACAGAGAATTAAGAGCAGAAACCTGAAGTTTGATAAAGTTATCTTGTTACAACATACTAGGTCCACATATACATATTGTTTCAAAGTCTTCCCTCAGATCTGCAACACATTGTCAAGTAGTCAAGTGTGGCAACCCCACTTCTCTGGTATTAGTCTTTGTAACTTTTGCATCACTGTGATGCCAGAGAAAGCAATTTAAGGAAAGCAGGATTACTTTGGCTTGTATTATTTGAGTTTCAGTTTGTGGTTGCCTGACTCTTGTTCTTGGGGCAGAATATCATGGCTACAGTAGTGTGTGAGCAAGGAGCTTCGTTTTATAGTAATGGACAAGAGGCAGAGAGGCAATTGTCATGGATGGGCATAACTTTCACTGGTATCTCTCCAGTGACCTACTTCCTCCAAACTAGTCCTCATGTACTACTATATATTTATAATTTCATATTATGCATATATAAGCACTTTTTAGTCCTGGTGTGTATAAGCTTT